ATCCTGAAACTTACTTACTCTAGATGTGGGTTATTGGTTATTGTGCTGATGTGATACTCCATGTTATGTTGCCTAATTATAGGTGAAAGTTAATCAGTTCTGATCAGGAGGAAATTCCTTCATACATTCCCACCTCAAAAATGTAGCTGGCCCATCCCATAAGTAAATCCCCTCTGCTGAATTTCCCCAAAGTCGCTATAGAGCAGCAGCTGAAGCCATCAATAGAATTAGAAAGACTGTATTTTTCTAAAAAAAATCATTTGGTTCAGGTTTCTTTCCTCAGTGTTTGCCAATCAATATATAAGGCTTATTTTACTTTGTCCTTATTCCACTTGCTTATAGCTTTTCATATTAGTGTGGGTTTGCTGTTGGTAAATAAAACAACTTATTTGCTGTTGACTGTTAAAATTAATTATTCCTTTGTAGTTATTGTTGTTGGTAGATATTCAAAACCCAGGACTTGGTTTCATTTTTTTTTCTTTTTAACAAGAACTTAATGTATGTGATTTGGTGAAAAGAACAACTTAGTTCTATATCTTTTGGTGTAAGTTTTAGGACTACAGTTGGTTTTATGCCACAGAATGGAAGTATCTGAGGATACTATCAATCCAGCTTAGCCAGAACAGTCTGAGGTTAATCTTTCAAAAACAGTATTGGAGGTGAGCCTCTTAATTCAAATTGGCATCACTCCGAAGGTATCCAGACAAATCCCTCCAAGAGGCTGTGTATCGTTTGTACTTTATGTAGCATTAAATGCAGAACAATGTCTAAGATATTCGATATGAAACGTGTTACATAGCAGGACCTGATTGAACAATGCTGCCACATTATTACTGCAGCAAAAGCCTCTCCTACACCTAACACAGCCCGGCAGTCTGCTTTGGGTAAAACGCTTGGAGAAGTTTTTTGAGGTAGTTCAGAAAATGGCAGGAAGGAAAGTTGAAGAAAAAAAAATCTCAGGAGTCATCTAGATCAATGATTCTCCACCTATTACATGTTATGCTTCATTAGTCATTTGGTCAGAGAATTTGCATTCCACCATGACAGAAACAAGAAGGGCACTTTTTTCTGAGAAAGACATAGATAATTCAGTTATTATACTTTATGCATTGGACCTGATGTTCTAAATAGCCCCTTCCAAGGCGATAACTTCTATAACAGTGTTTCTCAACCTTAGCAACTCCCAGCCACTGGGGAATTCTGGGACTTGAAGTCCATGCATCTTAAAGTTGCTAAGGTTGAGAAACACTGTTCTATAATTTGACGTAAGTGTGAAGAATATAGAAACTATAATAATATTGTTTATATCAATTTTTCCTGCTGTGGCTTTAAAATACTAACTAAAATGGTTCATTTAGTAATTAAATGGCAAGGCAAAAGGCAAGTCTAAGAAGGGACCTGTGTTTTACAAGACATTTGCTGCTTTGCAATAAGGGTCAAGAAGCTCCAAAGGCAACTGGAGAAACTAGAGGGTGGGGGAATGTTCACTAAAATACAAAGGCAATGGGAATTCAACAATCATGGACAGAAATGATTGAGGACAGAAATCTTGAGACAGGAGAAATGATTTGGAAGGAGAAAGCTGCTGCTTTTGATGTTTCTTTTCCTTTTTTACTTATTTTTATTTATTTTATTTATTATTAAATTTGTATGCTGCCCATCTCCCCCCAACGGGTGACTC